ATTATGGGTGTAGCGCGCTTCAAATGCGTGCTCTCTGAAATCCAAAGTTGTGGTTTCACGTCATGACGCTGCACAGTCACTTATGATTCGTTTTTTTTTTTGCTGCCTTCTTTGCACACCAACTTCTATATTATCATCCAAAACAAAATGCACGCTGATAGAGCTTGTCTTGCTCCCTCTAATGCATATTTCTTCTCCCCAGAGCACGTCATAACGATCAGCATGTCGACGGACCGGAAGGAGGGGCTGATCCCAAAGATGAAGGCTGCCCTGGCGCAAGTGATGAACCGTAGTGAGGCGGCACGCACAGAGGAGACGGCTAGTGGTGCCCCACCCCAGCCGAACATCGCTCGCTCGATTTCGGACGTGCTGAGGGCCAAGCTTCGTCCTGTGCCGGCGCGCCGGGCGAGCCCAGGATTGGTCTCCCTGCGACGCCGGAATGGGGGTCGCCAGACGAACGCCGAGGGCGGTGGCAGCGGCAGCATGACCCCGCAGTCGGACAGTGGAGGTCATACGGAGACTGCGGATCTGCCGAGCCACATAAGCTCCTGCGAAGGGGTAGGTGATCCGTCAGTGCTGCCTTCTGGTGACACACTACTAGGAGCTAAATGTGCGACTGATAATGATGGACTAGCGGTGTCGAACGAAGCTGCTACGTCGGCCAGCTCCTCATCTGCCCAAGCCGCTACCGTGGTGAGCTCCACGGAGACGGTGCTAGCCGCCGAGACCGAATCTCTGCCGAGTACCCCAGCCGCCAGACGCGCGCCGCGGCGGACCCAAGCTAGGCGACGTGCAGTCAGTCTCCAGCGAAACCCGCGACGGCAAAAATGTAGAACAGTCGAATCTTCTTCGCCTCCCCCGCCTCATTCGACACCGACTGCTGCGTTGACCGCACCTCCGTCGATTGCATCCTCCTATGGCGAAGGACGTCCACCATTGCCGAAAATCGCCATATCTCGCGGGCGGGACGGACTCGTACATCAGAAGTTAATATTTAGTAGCGATTCCTCAGTTTCTTCCAAAGGCAAACAGGAAACGACGGTAGCGACAAAGAGCGACCAATGTGAAGGAAGAAAGCCGAAACGTCGCTCACGGTCTCGCAAGGTCGTCCCAGCTGATTTGCAACAGGACAAGGGAGACACTGATGGACTTACCAAACGAGGTCGGCGACGACACAAGCAGAGGGTGAGTCAGACAACGTCATTACCGGAAGCCGCCTCAACAGCCGGTTGTACTGCTGCAGCAGCTCATGCGGAGGATGTGTGCCTGGCGACCAAGTCTGAGCCGTCCGAAACATCGTCCGGTGGAAACGAAGAACAATCAATTGCTGAAGACAATCCAGAGCAGTCGTTCAACAACGTCCGAGAGATTGAAGTAGCTCACCGACTCGGCCGGGGTCGAGGTCACTGCGGGGTAAGAAGACGAATTCCTGGATCAAGTTTGGATGCAAAGTCCTCGTCGTCACACACAGTGCGATCCTATGCCCGGATCGGTCGCGCTTCACACTACTGGCCGATCAAGACCAGCAAAACAGTGCCCGAACAAAGCGGTGACGTGGCGTTTGAGCCAGCAGGATTGCTTGAGTCCGGCAAAGTGCTTATGGATGCAGGGATTGGAACCACTGAGTCTGTGCCAAAGATGTCGAAGTGCACAGCATCAGCATCAGCAGCCTCAGATGATGTGTGTGAAAGAGAAACAAAAAGAAAGCAGAAACGGCGAGGAGGTGGTCCTCGACAAGAAAACCCTTCACTGGCAGCGTTAAAACAACGCGAATACCGCGCTCGACGGCAGGCGAGGGGCGGCCGACCCTTAGGACAGCGGAGGAAAAAACGTCTTTCCAAGAGCCTTGTTGGTGGCTCAGCAACTGATAACGGCAGCTCATTTCTGTCTGTGGCCGTGAACGAAAAGGAGGTTATGGCTTCAAATGGTGTGGATGTTGCTTCTTCGCTATCTCCTGAAGATGCAGAAAACCCAGGAGAAAACATTTGCATCCAAGAGAACGAACCAGAGACTGCGACCGGAAATTTAGAGCAGAATATGGCCTCCAGCTGTGCGAATGCTGGGGCTAGCATATCTTCGGATGTCGGAAATGCAGAACAGGATATATCTACCGATCGTGTGGGTGCTGCTGCTTCGATGTCTCCCGATGAAGCCAACAACCCCAGCGAAGCTATCTGTGATGAGGAGCGCCCCCCAGGAACAAGCCAAGCCGGTCTAAAATCGGAATTAGAGTCGACAGTGATTGTCAAGAAACCGCGGAGGCCTCGGGGACGTGGATACATCACCATCAACCAAAGAATGAAGGAACGTCGTAAGCAGCGTGCCGTGAATCGACAGTCACTGGGGGCAACGCTGTTTGAAAGTGGCGGACCAACGCGGCGGAGGAAAAAGACAGCCCAAGAAAGCATGACGACCTCGGGGACACCGGGAGCTGCGTCATCAAACGTTGGAAATGCCTCAGAATCGGCAACTGTCCGTTCGACCTCTGTCGCCAATGATCCACTGACGCCTAGCAATGAAAACTTGACAGCGGTCCCCGGAGCGGTCCCTGGCTCGGCTGAACCTGCCGATGAATCGGCTGTAACCGTGGGAGATGCTACCATTGCCAGTAGCTGTCAAATCCCAAACGCGAATGCAGACAAGGATCACACTGCCAGCCATCCACCGAAAAGAAGGATGCGAGGATCCCGTAGATCGCGCGGAATTGGCAAGCAGCGTCATTTTCCAGCAGGGGAAACGTTCAGTGAGTACAAAAAGCGTATGCAGCTCCTGCACTCTGGACGCGCGCTCCCGCTGCCGCGTGGACGACCAGTGGGCCCTGTGTTGCTGCTGAAGCGTTTCCTGAAAACAGGCTGGGAACAACTGAAGAGAAACGATATTATGCCGACACCTGAGGAGGACTGTCTCATTTGGGAGACGGTGATTGAAGTAAGCACTGATGTAGACGGTGATTACTCTGATACTTTGGCCAAAATCGACGCTGAAGCAAATCATATGTACAAGAAGGCACGCGCTGCGCTAGAAATTGAAGAGCTGATGGAAATAGAAAAAGAACATGGATCAAGTGATAACCTCTTACAGAGTTATTTCGGAATCTCCGAAGAAACAATGTCACGATGCACAAGCATCCAGCCAACAGCGGGATCTGACGATGCGTTGTCCCCTGAACCATCAAAAATGGAGCCATCACGCAAAATCCTTCGTGTCTGGGATGAAGAGGGGCCTCAGCGTTCGGTTCACATTGCATACCCTGGGAAGCGTGGTGAAGAGGTGGATGTGATTGATGGCTTTCGCTTCGTGTCATTCAACACAGCGTCGGCAATGATTCGTTTCACACGACGTGAAGAGCAGCGCGCCCGTCGACTCCGACGAAAAGAACGACGCAAAGCAGCTATGTTACGGATGAAAGCTGCACGGGAGAACCGACTTCGGTTAGATCTTGATGCTCCAAACGACTGGGACGACCCCGACTGGGATCCTTACATAGATCTTTCCGATACGGAACTACGTCGGGCGAAGCTGCCTGACCTGGATCAGCCATCGAGCCCTTCTGAACCAGAGATGTTAACAGAACAAATGCCGATTCTGGAACCCGATTCCGATGTGTCGTTTGAGCTGCCCTTCAGCGATCTGTCATCGACTTTTGTCGCCCCGACGAGTCAGCGTGATTCGAAAGGTGAACAGAGTCACAGTCGTTGCCATGGTCGAGGTGGAGGCCGAGGCCGAGGGCGAGGCCGAGGTCAAGGACGGGGACGCGGACGCGGACGTGGACGCGGACGCGGATCCGGATCTTTAAGATGGTCATGCTCGCTACGGGTCAACCGTTTCTGTGAGAGAAAGCGTGAACTCTCGAGGACGTCTTCATCTACCTTTGAGAACGTAGAGGACGAGTACAACGCGAAGCAACCCTCTGATCTACATCAACCAGGAACGTCAAGGCCCGATCGTAAGCGTTCTCGTCGAAGGAATGCATATGAAGAAATAAGGGAAATCGCGCGCGAGGCTTTCGCTCAGTCATCTCACGAACATGGTACTGAGTTAGGAGTAGCCTACAACCCTGCAGTCGCAGATCGGGTCCAAGTCACGGTCGACACGCCGCCTGCCTCAGATGCTGCTGGAATCTTCTCCAGTCCGGAACTGGAGGAGTTTCTAAGAGATCACAGCTCCTTGAGAATAAGTCTCACTCTTCCCGCTTCGTTCGTCGTGACCAACGTTGCTCGCGCGGCATCTCCCCCACCGGTGCCAGCGCAGCAGGAAGTTGTCCCACAGAGGCCGCCACCGGATCGGCTACCTGATGAACCACGCTGCCGAACGGTTCTGGAACGCCTCGCCTGGCTCGGCTATCGCACCAAAGAGGAGCTGGAAGCAGGTCTTGCCAAACAGCTCGACGACGCTGTAAAAGCCAAAGCGTCCAACAAAGAACCTGACTTTGATTTCGACTCTGTGCCAGCGAAAAACTTCCTTCGATCTCGCCAGCGCCCAAGATCAGCCTGTCAGAGCCCGGCATCACCTCGTGACCATCACGTACCGCTAGTGTCACGTGCTGGATGTCTGATGCCGCTCAGCGTTGTCTCTCATCGTTCAATGGTGGAGCGTCGCTCTGACGACAAGTCTACCAACTCGCAAGGTACGGCCCTGTACGCATATGATCAGCATCAGCAGCTGCTGATTCGGGGCTCTGTGCCGTGTGACAAAGACGTTCATGCTCCTCAAGGTCGTCCAGGCTTCCGCGTGCCCAAACCGAGCCGGATCGTGCGACCTGAGCATGTTATTCCGCAGATGAACCGTCACAACGAGTATCGTGTCAACACTGTGCCAGTGGACTGCATCATGGCGAGGATGGCTGCGTCGGCGGTGTGCGACGACAGTGCTGGAATTGTCAGGCCTAAGTCAAAGCCAAGGGTGCGTAAGAGGACTCCCTGTGTAGATCCATTAGGGAGAAAGATGGGAGGAACATTCGAGGAGAAAGGGAAGGTTCGGTGTGTGGACGATAGGGGAGAACGAGTAGACCTAGCGCATGAAGCCCGACAGGTGGTCTGTGAGATGGAGGAAGAAGTGTCGGTGAAACGAAGCAGATACATGGAACAGGGAATGGATGAAGAAGGAATGAAGACAACGAGGCAGAAGGTGGCGCCAGCTGCTCTCCAGAATCTGGGTGGCATAGTGGAATCAGACGACTTTTCGGAGAAAGGAGACGACAAAGAAGTCAAAAGGCCCAGTTGCTCTCGGATTGGAAATAAGGACGATCCGTCTTCCTTTGCAGATATTGACAAGACCAGTGCGCGGCTGGAGGAAAAAGAAACGTGGGAAACGAAGGAGGTGGGAGGAAGGAAGGAGAAGGCGACAGAGACCGCTGAAGTAACCCAGCTTAACGGCACGTATGAGTTAAGCATGGGAACAGATGTGTCTCCACACAAGATCCCAGAGGCCCAACATGGACATCAAAGAGAATGCCTACAAGAACAGAACAACCAGAAATACACCGAACGAACGCCAGCAGCGGAGTCAACCCTTTATGCTTCGAAGGGGAAGTGCAACAGAGAAATGCTCCGACTGGGACTTCATCCTGCACCTCAGACAAAAGCAGGCGAGTCGTCTGTGGCGAACGGATTGACAGCGTGTGGTCAAGAAGCTTGTCAGATGGGCTGTGTCTGCAGCAGCCTGTCATGCCCCAACATGGAGAAAGAGCATTGCGGGCAAGTGCAGTGTATGCTTTGTTGCACCTGTAACAGTATTGCCTCTGTTGCTTCTTCGACGCCACCAGCCCCATCGCAAACAGGTACAGACGCGTCTGGTCACGACCAGTCCCCAGCATGTGCTTCTCTGGGCCCAAAATCGCTTGGTTCGGTGGCTGGAAGTCGGATGAAGCGGACGCGCAAAGTTCCATTAAGGTACACGAAGCAGGACGTGTGGTACGGGGGACCATTGCTATTCGGAACATCAGACGTCATTACCCCTCGCGTCCAGGCACGATCGCGTATGAGGTTGCCAAGTCACCTGCCAATGGACGACGAAGATGTCCTAGACAGACAGTACTTTCAGCTCTCATGCAGAGTGAGGGTACGGGTGCCACTTTACCGACTGCCGCAAGTGTCGCCGTTTTGTATCGTACACCAGTCTCACAACTGTCGCAAGTACGCTGAACGCGGAAGCTGTTACAAGCTAACAGCGCATCGTTTGCGCCAACTGGGCCGCAACGTGGCCGTACGGTCACGCCGTCTACCGCCTACTATCTTTAGGCCTCGTCATGACCACTCAGCACGCACGTTCGCGGTTCGAAAGACGAAAAGGCCAATGGAGTTCCTCCCACTCAAGCATTCTTGCTTGCTTGCAGGTGCTGTCTACAAGGGAGCGCAAGCACCACGTTTGCCCGTCCCACCACGGCGCCCGCCAACCATCGTCCAGCTGCCCGACCCAGTGGCCTGTCAAGATGTGGAGCGTGTCGTCCGCATCGTATCGAGTGAAACAAGTGCCACAGCACCCAACAACACTCAGCACGTAGCCGTGCGTCTTCGCAACGGCATGCTGAACGTGCTGTCCTCAACGCCCGTTCCGCCGGGAATGACGTGGCGGATCGAGTCTGCCGACGACGTCTTGGTGGCTGACAAGGATGGTCATCGGTTTCGCAACCCACCCGAGGGACAGCGTCTGAACGCTGTGTCAGTGGAGGACAGTGAAGGACAGCTGTATCGCATGCCACTGGTTACGATCAACTACCAACTTCAGTTCCTTCGCGCACGAGCTATCAGCAGAGATGGTGTGATCACTATTTACGCGAAGGATGCTCCACAGTCTGACAAACGTCGTAAGCTGTATCGAGTGAATATGAGGACGCACAAGCTGCATGAGAGTGGCATGGTTCTACTCCGTCGGGTCACTGCCGGGACGTTCATCGTCATTGGCATTGTGAAGGCCTGTGACGAGGAGAAGGAATGGATTGCGGAAGCTGTGCGCTTCTTGTGTGGCCTCGGTGGTGGCATGGTGCAAAGCTCTCTCCGGTGCATGCTCGAAGCATTTGACATAGACAGGGTCTGGCAACTGAACTCGGCCAGTGCCTATCGGATGCCGACCACAAGTGTCCCGACGTCTCTAGAAGAGAAGGGGAAGACGAGTCAAATGATTAGGTATGTGTCGCCGAGCAGGGCTCCCAAACACTTCTTGCGACCTGTCTCGTCAACGGATGTACCATCCTTGTCGCTGACTTGTGAGGAATCGGTCTCAGATGCAGATGGCGACCAGGTGTGCACCCTCAAAGATGGTAGCGGTGCTCCCGCCTACGAACAGCAACGCTCACAAAAAAGACCGAGATGCCACCCAATCAAGCAGCGTGTGGTTCCCACTGAGGTCCAGAAGCGCGTCTGTCTAAGTGATGGAGAATCTGCCGCTGGAGGGGCTCCACAGAAAGCACCACATCCTTGCGAATTAAATCAGCAACGCGAGTCCGTTGCTACTGACATTCCGCCGCAGAAGCCGTTATCTGTGCGTGACAAAAAACCTGCTGCTGAAGGGGCTCCGCAGATCTTGCCACTCATGAGCAGGCCCACCCAGCAGCAAGCAGGCATCAGCCCCGACATCCAGACGCAGATGTCGGTATGCAGCAGTCGCAAGCCTTCTTCTGGAGAAACTCCACAGAGTGCATTGCCAATGGGCGGCCTTTCCCAGCAATGCTTGTCGTCCTCTCCTGACGAGCAGACTCAAACACCGCCTTGTAGCAGTAACACATCTGCTGCAGGAGCTTCACTGAGCGTGCCACCTAGCTCAGGTCTGAAGCAAGCGTGCTATGGTGGCAGCCCTCGCATCCGGCTGCGTGTTGAAGACGGGAAAGTGGTAGCGGTGACGCAGGGTGGCAAGAACATCCAGGTGGCTGCAACAAAAAGTTCCAAGGACGTGACGAAAGGGCATATGAAGGTGGCTGTCAAAGGTGGCATCAGCACTGTCAATGCAGCCGCGAAAGATGGCTCGGTTTCTGGGTGTGGTTTGTTGGGTACCAACTGCTCACTGGATGGAGATGCGTCAAATGTCACAGAACATGCTCCTGGAAGTGTGTCAAGTTGTGGGAAACTGGGCTTGGCGGTCACTGAGGATGCTCAGCCTAACGCTAAATCTAGTAACTGCGACAAAATCATCGTATCCTTCAAGCGACATGAACAAGAGGCCCTGAGGAAGGCTATCAACGCCGCCCACCAAGTTCCTACCAAAGCCTTTCCTTTGCTAGCTCCTCGCCAGCCGACAACGCTACAACCAGGGCAATTGTCCGGCCAACCCACTCTGAAATCAACAGATGTAACAGTGCTCCGCCAGGGCAAGCCTTGTGATGTCATCCGGGTCAGTGTATCAACGGTATCTCAAGTCCCTGCTGCGTCAAAGTCAGTGTCTGGTGCTGGGTCAAAGTCGGCGTCCGGTGCTGGAGCCAATCCGCCAGTGCCAGGCAGCCTCCCGACCGTCACGCTATCAGGATCCGCTCTGTCAGGCCAATCGAAACCTGTGTCGACAGTGAATATCAAACGTGGAGATCCTACAAGCCAAAATCCGTCACAAGCTGCGAAACCAACATTTTCCCGACAGTCAGGAGAAACAAAGCGACAGACTACAACAACCACAGTATCAGACGATGAGAAAGCAGCGACGAGTTCCCAGACGCCCTCGTACACGCTAGTATCATCAAGCAGGTCATTCCTGTGTATGGGTAAGTCGTCAGCTCTACCGAAGCCTCAGACCGTCGATAGCTCAGCATCGTGTCGAGCGCAGTCGCTGACATCGTCTCAGTCCAACTCAGAGGTGGGCGATGCTGCGAAGGTGACAAGAGCGACAAAGGAAGTCATGCACCAGAAACCTGGACCTACCTCCAAGACAGGTCCGGAGCTACCACAAGTGGTACAGTCTGGCAAAGAAAGACAGGGCCTAAGCACGACGATGGCGTCTCAGTCGGCCGCTAATCAGAATGAACAGAACAAAGCTAAGTCTACTGGCGGTGCACGTCTGTCATATGTGCGCATGCCGCCCGAACGTGTAGAGGGGCGCATGGTGACTGCTCGCTTCGGTGGCAAACCTTCGCGCTGGAACATGATCGAAGTAGACAAGGTACCAGACCTCATGCACGTCGATGGCATTCCCATCTCGCTCACCAAGCGATACCTCAAGCACGCCGTGCATCAGGTGAAGAACACTGGCCGCCCTGTCTCGACCAAGGTGAACAATGTGCTCGTCACCATCGTATGGATGCCCCACCTGCCTGACTTTGTCTTCCTCGGACCCATCAAGGAGCAGCCCGGGACGAGGTCGAGCACTGAGCCGGTTCCGGTGGCAGTCGCTGGCAGCACCGCGCCGGCTCCGTCCGCACTCGGCGTAGCGGCGGTGGCCGGACAGAGAACGCCGACGGAGACCGTCACCAGCACCGCAACGTCGTCTGGTCCCACTCAGAGGCCGAGTACCGCATCGAAAACGGTAATCATTCCCTCGAAACCCAAAGCAAAAGCAACGTCCGCAACGCCGCCGTCTGCTGCGACTCGGCCTCATGTGGTTAAAGCGGAGGCTCTATCTCGGCGGGTGGGTAATGTCCAGCGGCCCCCAGCTCCGTCTGCGCCGCCTGCGGCTCGACGCGCAGCGCCTGCCGCCGCCGCTACCGCCACCGCCACCGTGGACCCGCTGTCACCCTCCATGGAGTTGTCCGCGGCGCTGGCGTTCGACGAGCCAGGCGCGTCGGCGACCGGCGACAGCGACGACGAGGTGGTAGTGCTGCCGCCGCCGCCGCCACGCGCTCCTCTCGACGTCATCCTGTTGGACAACTCGGACATCAGTGACGACGAGCTGGTGCTGGACACCAACACCGAGTGCCCGGAACGGATGCCAGGTGAGTGGGAGCACAAGTGGCAGCAGTGACGGTGACTTGAGTCCCACTAACGTAAATGTTTAAACTAGAGCAACAAGCTCGTTTTCACGATATGTTGACACTTTGCCACTTCAGCATTTTGATCGTCTTTTATTACGGAGCGAGCGAAGCGAGCGTAGTCTTTCCTTAGATTAACGGAAATTTCTGAGTATGAGCGGCCGGCCGGCCGGCCGGCCGTGGTCACGGTTTTGCGACGCTTATATCTCAGCAACCACTTGACCGATTTACAAGCGGTGATTTTTGTAGGGTAGCTTCATTCCTTCTACCAAGTATTGGACTATTCCCGATGCATGTAGGTGACCCCTTATGCACGTGCCACGTGCAAAACGAAGAGGTGTCACTTTTGTAATTGTTGCAATATCTCGGTAACTACTTGGCCGATTGCGCTGAAAGTTGGCATGTAGGTAGGCACCCACTAGGCAATGCATATCCATGTGCCAGAGTTGGGGTGCTGCTGCACGTGCGCACGTGCAGGGGTCGATTCCAGATCTCGAGAACGGCTGGACCGATTGCGCTCAAATTTGGTACACGGTTACGGAGCAGTTAGTAGAGTGCAGTGCACAAGTCAGTTGGGACCCATTTTGCACGTGCGCACGTGCAGGGTGCCGCTTCCAGATCTCGAGAACGGCTGGGCCGATTGTGCTCAAATTCGGCACATCGCTAGAGACCGGTTAGTAGGGTGCCGTGCACGTTGGAGGTACCCCCTCACAATTTCGCACGTGCAAGGCCCACCCTCTCGCTCGCTCCGTTAGTCGCCCCATAAGGCGCTATACTGGTTTTTGGGTATGATATTAGATCATCAAGCAACTATAGCGCTTGCAATAACTAAAAATGTAATTTCATCTGTCTCACACAGGATGTGCTCTTATAAAGTCACGGGTGGATGCTTCAACCTTAACCAAAGCTTTAAAAAAAAACTCATACTGGAAATATGTTTAACACCACTTCTGCTCTTTCCAGCTGCGAGCCAATCTGTGGGCGAGGCATCGACATCGGGGCCCGGCAGGCCTCGCTCGGGCGGTATGCCGACGGCGTCTTCAGTGCAGACACCTGCCGCCGCAGCGCCTGCCAGCGGCGGGGCGTCTCACGAGACAGCGCCTCCCACGGTCCCGACACCCGCCGTGGCAGCGTCCCATGTCAGCCGACCATCCGCCAAGACAGTGCCAGATGTGGATCAAATATCCGCCAAGGCAGTGCCACATGTGGATCGACCATCCGCCAAGGCAGTGCCACATGTTGATCGACCATCCGCCAAGGCAGCGCCCCAGGTGGATCGACCATCCGCCAAGGCAGTGCCACATGTGATTCGACCATCCGCCAAGGCAGTGCCACATGTGATTCGACCATCCGCCAAGGCAGTGCCACATGTGATTCGACCATCCACCAAGGCATCGCCCTCCAGCAGCGGGCCGTTGAAGCGGGTGCTGCCGCCCCCCTCTGCTCCTTTGCTACGTGCAGTGCTGGCCCCCAGCACCGTTGGCTCCGGAGCCGGAACGCGAGACCCTGGGAGGCCGTCCACTAGCTCGGCGGCCGAGGAGCCGAGTCCGGCGCGACCGGAGCCGGACGGCGCGACTGCCACGGACTCCGAGCCGCGACCCAAGCGACGCAAGCAGCAGCTCCAAGAGCGGCCCATCCAATCGCCTGTGCCGCCGGTAAGTTCAGCGGCCGCTGCCCATCGCCCCTGTCTGGCAACCTGGCCTCACCAGTCACCACTTACGGTAGGCGCAGTTTCATCGTGTGCTTGTGTCGCCTGACCAAACTGCTGTCGGATGCTTCGCCTATTCGAATGAATGACATTATGGCTCTTCGTTCAAGGAGCAGCATAAGGAATAGGAGACGCAGTATTATCCTTGCTATCAATGCTATTAAACCATGCAAATATAACATAAACCTATTTCATTCGGTTATGAAAATCGTAATCGGTTGTGTTCTTTTGAATTCCTAGGTTGGAAAAGCCGCACATCTTGTCCCACATTCAAAGTTCCCGTGTGTCGTATGCATCCATTGCACATGGTGGTTGACTGAACGTGCCCTCTCGTCTCACCCAGTTTGTGCCGACGCCTCCACGAGTGCGGGTTCGAGTGAATGCCGGGGAGTACACGGCCGCCAAGCACGCCTTGGAGGAGCTCCTGTTCGGGCGACTCGAGAACGCCACGCCCATCAAACGCCAGACCGTGCTCGTACTGAAGACGGTGAGTGGTCTCGCTGGGGGCCGTGGGAAGGCCACTCCCAGGGCGGGGTGCTGGGATCCTCGTGTGAGAGAGCCTTGTATTGGAGACTTTTCAAGGAACGTTCTGATCTGTAACCGGTAGCTTTGTGTTTACATACATGGCATGCATGCAACATTGTAAGATGTGTATGTATGTACAATGCTTATGTGTATGATGTGTGTGTGTGTGTGTCTGAGTCTGGCTGACTGCGTGTCTGTGTCCATGTCTGGCTGACTGCCTATCTGTGTCTGTGTCTGGCTGACCATACTGTCTGTTTCGGCTAACCGTGTGTCTGTTTCGACCGACCGTGTGTCCCTGCCTCGGCTAGCCGTGTGTCTATGTCTGGCTGACCGTGTACCCGTGTCTCGTCTGACCGTGTGTCTGTGTCTGTGTCGACTGACTGCTCTGTTTGTATCTCGGCTAACCGTGTGTCCGTGTCTCGGCTGACGGTACTGTCTAGTGTCTGTGTATCGGCTGTTTGCGGCTCAGCTGATCTGTCGTCTGTGTCTCAGCTGACCGTGTGTCTGTCTGTCTGTCTGTCTGCGATTCACTGTGTTTGTATCTGTGTCTCGGCTGACCGTGTGTCTGTGTCTGTCTCACTCTCGGCTGACCGTGAATCTGTGTTTCGACTGACTGCTGTGTCTGTCTCGACTGTCTGCGGTGTGCTGGCCGTGTGTCTGCGCCTGTCTCGACTGACCCGTGTGTCTGTGTCGGTCTCGGCTGTCTGCGGTCTGTCTCGACTGTCTGCCGTATGCTGACCGTGTGTCTGTCTCGACTGACCCGTGTGTCCGCGTCCCACCAGGCACAGGAGGAGGTGCGCGTCCAGCGGAGCCGCCACTCCCAGCTGAAGGTGCGACTCTGGCAGGTCTCGCAGAAGCAGCGCAACCTTCTGAACCGACTGAACCGGGGGCTGGCTGGTGAGTGCTGCCCCCTCTCGGTGATGGGAACTTGAGGAGACGGGATGGGCAGGGTCTGGGGGATCGCGACAGGAGGTCGTGCTGGCCGCTGGGGTATGGCATATGGTGGTGCCAACTTGTTGGCGGGCTTGCTGTTTTTGAATAGTTATAGATCGGATGTCAGGGCAAGTATGAGTGGGACCCGGCATTAGGCTAAGATATTTGTAGTTGTGTTAGGTCTGGGTGTAGTTATAGTTGTAGTTAAAGTTGCAGGTCGGGGCTAAATCTATGCAGTTGTCATTAATTGGGGATCGGGGCAAGGCAGTTATAAGCTCCGAGTGGGGTTCGTGTAAGCTGTAATAGGTACTCACAGGCTGGGGCCGGGTTTAGTTAATACAGTGATAGACCGGTATCTGTGCTAGTCCGAGGGTTAGTGCTGGTGTCCGTGGCCAAGCTCGTGGTCATTGCATATCTTAGAGGCTGTCATTTGGTTAAATATTGGTCGTAGCCAACGATAACGTGGCTAAAATATGATTTTAAACGTTCATCCGTTTCAGAGCTGCCTCTGGAGAAACGGATCGAGAAAATCGCCGAGATCGAGGATCTGCTCTCCTTCGTGCAGGTTCGTAACGTCTGGATCTCTGATCTCTGTCTTTCAGATTGCCCCATGGATCTCCGGCTGGACTTATACGAAGGACCGTGCTGTCTGGCTGTTCTGCCAGCATTGCGCAGACAGAAGCATATTTTTTCTCTCTGCCCTGCCAGTATAAAAAACTACTTATCACTGCAGCTTGCCGTTTGTGGAGTGCGTGCTCTTTTGATGACCTCCCGCACCCTCAATCGTGACATACGGATGCCTGCCGACCGGAAATTCAAGCCATTTCACAACTGCGCTGATGCAGAGTACCATCCGAGTACTGTCATTAGTAAGATAAACTGTGGCACCATGCAACACCCCGTTCCAAAATGGAGCAGCCCACCATGCTATCTAACCACCGCTCACGGTCCCCAATGTTCCTGAGGTCCAAGCCAAGGGAAACCGCCTTCTCGCCCAGATATACCGCCAAACTGCTACTGTGTCCAGCAACCAGACTATCGGGGAGTGAGAATGCTACGGTGCCCCCCCCCCCCCCCCCACACACTTCATCCGCGCGGCACCTAAATCATTACCGCTACCATCGGTGGCAACAGCTTGGTGGCAGCGATAGCGAGCTGGTGCCGCCGTAAACCTGCCTGACTCCCGCAGGTTGTGCGCCCTCTGAATGTGCCACTCATCCCCATAGGCAGCGGAACGGGGAGGGCACCGGGGCACCGTGCCCCCCTCTGATTTTGGCACTTAACCCGCGCCCTGCTGGGGGGTGTTTGAACACACCCCCTTGTGGTTTTTCGCTGACCGATCGCTTTGAAACTTTCAGCGATTGCTAAGAGCAATAGCATGTACAAAATGTATATCTCAGAATTTTGATATCGATGACCTAAGGTCAGGTCAATTTTGCGACCTCCCATTATAAGTCAATGGGAGAAAATTGAAATGCGCCTCTTTTGGACGAAAGACATTATAAACACTTCCAAACACTGAATTACAAGTGGTTTAGACACACTGAACATGGAAATGGTGTCCGTGACCCCTGTTTATGCCTTGAGGTCATCTTAGGTCACGAATGGTATCTAACAGTTTTTCGCAAATAACTTTTGATAGAGGCATGCTAGAGCGACGAAAACGCCTTAGATGTGTTCAGCTCGACGATACGGATCGACTGATATGCAACATGACCCTTTCCGGTCAGGTCATGACATTGACCTGAGGTCAAATTTTCAAGTTGACCTTTCAAGGTCAAGTTATAGTTCATTCGATGCGTCTTGACGAGAGGAACACGATGCCGGTAAAAGTAAGCTCGTACAAGGCTTGGATCAAAAGTTATTGCAGAAAAACTGTTTCCGAAAAAATCTGTTATTTTTGCAGTTTTTGCCCCCTGCAGGCAAAACCCTTGACGTTAGGTCAAATTTGAGAGAATTGCTCAGAAAGGGCGTTAATAGGGCTATCGAATGCGCTTTTTTGCGGCGCTGTAGCTCTGTTGGTTCCCGAGTTATGCGTTGGCTTCTTGGAAATTGTCGACATTCGACCTGGAAATCGGCGAAATTTTGCCTTCAATGACCTCTGGTGACCTGACCTTTGACCTGACCAAAAAATTGACCAGTGATTTCCTCATTATTTTTGACGCTCTTTCGAACGCCGCCTTCCGCGTATCGCTACGTGGCCCAGGAGCCGAGTTAGAAGGGGGGTGTTCAAACACCCCCCCCAGCAGGGCGTGGAAATCCAGGACCCCCAGCAGGGCGCGGGTTAAATATTAGCCCTATGGGCATTGCACGGAAAGGATGGGACCAAAATGGGACCATAGTCGGCAGTGCCCCCCCCCTAATTGAAGGTGTTCCGCCGCTACTGTTTATCCCACCGCCTTCGGTTCGGCAGGTGCGTGTCGACGGTGACGAGCACGAGCCTGTGATGCTGCTGGAGCAGAAGCAGAGCCAGCAGCCGTCCCAGTTCCGCGTCATCGCGCCCGACGGCGTGCCGGCGGCGCCGCCCAGCGCCGAGGACACAGACGCCGACGAGCTCTCCGTGATGTAGGCGCCCCGGCCCGCCCGGCACGCGACTGAGGGCGGTGAGAGGACTGGCACTCTGGACACTGAACGCGCTGGCATGACAAAATATGATGAGAGTTAAGGGAGTTCTTTTCCAGAGCTGTTGCTGTTATGTTGGTGATGTGTATTGTGTATGTTATACTTGCTCTGATACCTCGTTGAAGCAGAATAGGACGTTAGTTAGATTGGGGGCGTTAGGCTCCCCTGAGCCCTGATGAGCAAAATGTTTGACACATCTGAACACTGCTGTAGTGGGATGTCCTGCAAGTGCAAACCCACGAGAGGTGGGAAACTGCAGCTTTCCGCTGCAACTGAGAGCGAGCAAAGATTGCTGCTCGTGCTGATACATTTTCTGTTCATTGTTCAGAGCACCGATACGCTGTATGCTGTACGCCCCCTGACTGTTCCTGGCTGGTGAGGCCAGGGCGCGCTGTCGTGTAGGTATGTGTCGGGGGCGTCCTTTGTGCATTCTTGGTGACTATTACAGGGCTGTGACCGCGTGCGCCAGTGGGCACGCCATTTGCGAGAGCAGCGCCCCGCGAGCTTGCTGCTGATAACTGCCAGTTCCGTTCAGTGTGATAGTGTGCTGGTGTAAATAGTGTTGCACGCCGTGCAAGTCGTGAGCCATGTTATCAATGCCCTTGTACCATCCTGTATCCCAGAGACGTGCATTTGCGTGAGACGGTGCAGATAAAACATTGAGTACAAACGTAGACAAGGTTTGTGGCACAGACGGCTGCCGCGCTTTTCTGTTTTTGCTGAGCATTTGTGGGCTGTCCTTCTGTTGGCGCGCTGTAACTTGTCGAGTGATTCCGTTGGTGCGGGTTTGGAGAAGTCGATGAGAAGGCAGAACCGTCTCCCGACGACACGACGGTGGAAGGTGAGGTTTCCCAGACGTCGTGTGACGCATGCGTCACGTGTATCTGTGTACAAAATACATGATTACCAGTTAATTTCAAACGTGTTTTCGGAGGTTCTGCTCGGTATCTAAGGCCATAAGCCGGTTAGCAAGATGTATAGCGGTTCTGCTCGTTAAAGTGATTCTCGTTTCCCTCTAAACATTTTTTTGTGTTGCCTTTTTCGCGATCCAAACTAGCAACTCGATCGAAACGTGTGGTTGTTCATAGCGAGTAGCACACGCAGAGAGCATGCAGCTCCCCTTCAGGAAGGTGTCGTCGAATGCTGACCGAGTGTTTGAGATCGCCGCAGCGGCTCGGACCGGACACTCATCGATTTGCAAGGGCCATCCCATTGCGCCCTCCCACGCACGCAGTGCATCGCATTCACAAACCAAACGACAGTAACTTCTCAACAATAAATTACCTCAATGAACAAAACAATTCATTTTCCTCTGTCAGATCAGCCAAACCCTGCTGTATTGTCGCCTAAACGCCCGCCATCAGCCCTCACGGCCATCATCACTACACTCACTCGCCGATCGAAACCACGTCCTCGGGCCTTCTGTCGGCGAGCTGGCGGACCAGTATGGACCTTCACTGCTCCCACGGTAACCGGCCGTAATGTCACTGAGCATGAGCGCTACGCAGCCCGAGTGAGGCATAGGACCCCAGACTGACGTGGCTCCTATTTCGGGCCGGCACTGGGAGTCAGGAGCGTCCGTCGAGGTCCACAGAGGCCGCCTGTTGTCCGTCCACTCCAGTCTACGAAATTATGATGGAGTCATTTATGTCGGCTGAGCGTTCCAAAGCAGTCCGGCGGCTGGGGCAGGAATCTAACTGGCATGCAATGCTTCCTATGTTTTCTATCAGGCCCTTTTTGGCCGACTAGATAATAATATGATCACTGGCAATAATAGACAAACATCAGCGTGCAACGTCTTCAATGATCGACATCACTGACCCACTCTCTGCTTGTCGACTACAAAAGCAAAACACATCGCCAAAGGACTGGTGAGTACCTAACTCAGCAAATCCTTACCATCAACGTATCAGCAAACGGCCCTCCTCTCGCCAAACAAAGTCACAACGCTTCACACATTACGGCAGATCTCCAAGGTCCAACAGTTGGACTAGAATTCACAGTTTCAACAATGGCTAGGCTACGACCGCGCGGTAAACCCGTCTCCACAAATCGCACCACTCCTAGTTCCGTCTCCCGTAACGGCTCCACAATGACCGGCGCGCCGCTATGGTTACCAATGTCCCGCCGGCCCGACGCGGTCGCCCCAGAGGCCGCCGTGTCCGCTGACCGTCCGCTCTCCCTCTCAGACGCCCGAACTATCACTGCTACACCTCAGTCTGGCGTCATCCGGGCCTGGGCGGCTCGTGGTGGTCCATGGACATCTGCCTGCGCAGCCTCTGGGCCTCCGCGCCGGCCGAGGGGTCCAGTGACTGGGCCGTGAGCAGGGCGCGGCGGCGCGGCGGCGGCGGCCGGCGGGCCGGACCGACCGGAGCCGGCGCGCCGCCCACCGCCTCCTGCCACTGGCAAATGTGCTCGCTGAGCTGCTGCAGACTGCGCGCCTCGGGCGACGTCTCGGCGGCCGAGCCGGGCGAGCCGGCCGGCGTGCGCTCCGGGGTGACCTGCGGCTGGGCGGGCGGCGCCGGCACGGTCAGCGCGGCCGGCTGGCGGGCCAGCAGCTCGACCTCGCGGCGCACCAGCTGCCGCAGGCTGGCCAGCGTGGTGACGGATACGTCCGGGGAGCGGAGCGGCGCCGGCTCCGCAGCGCCGCCCCCGCCCTCCGGCCGGCCGAGCAGACCCAGGTCCAGCGACAACTGCTGCGAGTGGGCCGTCAGAGAGGTGCGACCTGCCGAGAGACACGGAGCACACGTTACCGGGGGCACCGGGGGCAGGGGGCAGGGAGGGTGGCGGGTGCCGGTCTCACTAGAGCCGCAGTACCAGACGACCAAAACCTTTTCATCTGGTCCCACGAATTCGGCACGTAACTACAAGCGTCGCGTAATTAACATAATTTCACAATAGTAACACTATGTAACTGGTTCGCTCGGCCTATGAAACTTAAATGCAACTCCGTAAAGGTACCTGAACTCTGGAGAGTTTCCTGCTGGGAACTTCAGACCTCTGCGGGAGGGTTCCACCCTACTGACCGCTGCGGGATGGTTCCGGTAGATGGTATCGGGAATAACTGACCTCTGCGAGACGGTTTGCGGTAGATGGTGTCGGGAATAACTGACCTCTGCGGGACGGTTTCCTGTAGATGGTGTCGGGTCCGCAGTCGGACGAGTAGGCCCGGCCGTCGGGCGGCACGTTCAGCCCTCCGCCCAGCTCCTCCCTGAACAGGGTGACGATGTCCCTGCGCAGGTTGTCCAGGTTACGGTAGTTTCGCGAGGCCTCCCGCTTCCTGTCCTCGCGCAGCTCGTACCTGACGGTGGACGGGGTGTCAGTTGTTACACTAGGGTACGGAATGTCACAGGGGAGGAGGAAGGGGTTACTGGACCGTATGGACGGAGTGTCACATAGGCGTACCGACTGGGTGTAACAGCAGAGTATATACGAACGTCGGACGGGGTGTAACAGGAGAGTATGGACGGAGTGTCACAAGGAGTTAAGACTGGGTGTAACACAGGAGAGTATGGACGGAGTGTCACATAGTACGGACTGGGTGTAACAGCAGAGTACGGACGTCGGACGGGGTGTAACAAACGGGTGGAATGTCACATAAAGAGTACGGACGGGATGTTACACAGGAGGGGGGGGGGAGGAGGGGGCGGGATTTTTGTGGACAATGGCGACTGGAACTCCGAGGCATGTGAGCAGGAGTTGCCGGAGAGATGAAGTGTCATGTGGAAGGTGGAAGACTGATTGGGCGTATGAAAGAATGACTGAGGAACAGTATCAAAGGAATCGGGTCAGGGGATGCAGACAGGCTAACTGTCAAAGACGGGACAGAGGGACCCAGATACGGATGGCAAAGAGACGCACACGTGGGGTGGTAACTGGTAACCACTGGGGCTACAGGGGGCCGTGGCAAGGGGGACTTTCCTACAAGCACTAACTTGTCTGCCGACACAGAAAGCTAATGTGAATTAGTCTGTTACCTAGCAAAGCGTGAATAGATCTGAATAGAACATCGAATCGTAGCCGGTTGGAAACTGACGCCAAGGATGAGTGAATGGCCGTCTCACGATATTGGATACGAAGGCGAGCCAGCTTCTGAATCAGCATCCAACGAGGCGGAACAGAATAGTATAAGTGAATAGCAATAGGGTTGGGACCTATCTGCATGCTCTGTATGTTTTGGTAAAATAAAAAAGCTCAGAATTTTTAATGATTTAATTTAAAATCACTTTGTTAAAAAAATGCCTAGTTAATTCAGAAATTAATTATTTGTGGCTGAAAACAACTTGCTTCTGATTGGTCGGGCTAATCATGACGTCACATGTAGGTATATAACTGTCTGTATATTTGGCGCAGTTGAGACATACATTTTCTATGTATTTTCCTATGGTAAATCGGAGTGATTGGTCGTGTTTTCAGTGTCTCTTTATTTTGCGCTGGTATTGCGTGGCTAAGAAGTTTTATCAAGAATGGCATATACTAAAATGTTCCTTTAATAATGGAGCTTCAATATCTGTGAGTTTTATTGGCAAGCGAAAACTGATTTCGCTGTTATTTTATCTGGAAATTACTCGTTTTTTTAGGTCAATATTCAAAATATTTTACGAGAACAAGTTGGCACTTTTCTTGATTTTTGCACTCAAATCGCGTGCGATTCAACTGTATTGGAACTTGCAAAGAAGCTTGGTGATTAATTAAATGAGTTGTTATGGCACTGTTTGCAAATCATGGATAATGAAACTCTGCCAAAGACTTACGCTACATAGCAATGCCTCAAGTAATACGCAGGAGGGACAGAATTCAGAGTCCGATCGAGAAGAATCGGTGCAAATGCTACGAAGACCAGGCAGCTCTGATACAATAGCTAGTCGTCTCACTACTCTCACTCCATTAGACCAGCTGATTCCTGACAGCACCGACTCGGATGCAAAGATGGAGCTCATCTTCCAAGCCAGAAACCAGTTCTTTGATGGAAGATGTGATGCTGCCTCTGTCTCTGCTTTGTTGGCCACTTTGGACGGGGCGGAGCTCCGCTCCTTGCGTGTGCGTGAGCCTGTCATCCAGAAATAGTTCCTTCGTTTGCTGGCCGTTCCCTGATTAGGTGCAATACGGGGAGCTGTAATCAGGGAAGTAACTTTCCATATGAAAGGGGTGCAGGTGCACCCCCGTCCCCCATCCACTAGAAGTGCACCCCCATAGGCTAAGCGGCGCCCCACACGCCGCCACACACAATTAGCTCTAGAGCAGATGGCGAGGGTGATTTCTCGGCTACATTCCATCTCGGCGTCGTGATGCTTGTGGGCTTGGAAAGCGTCCAGTCGTATGTAGGGTAGTGTAGGGGTAGGGTTGAGTTCAATAAGGTCCTTAGTCCTTACATTTGAAAGGTTTGAACAACCCGCAATCAGCACAACATACCACAAGTTAAATAAAAAACTACCAAACTCCGCCCAACTAATATAAATAAACATTACAGCCAAATTAATGGCCTAAATAAAAATATATCTCAAATCCTAACAGTTATCGCGGGTGATGGCGCCATGAGTTGCTATTATCCAAAACATATGCAAATAAACATGTTTGTATGTCCTATGTATGTTTGTTTTAAAAACGTGGCAGCGGCGCTGGGAACTGCAGTCTTAGATCTGGGTATGTTTGGCATCTGCAACTCTTCTACACATTAACCCTATTTCGGACGGGGAGACCTTTCAGGATTTTCTTGTACAATTGCCAAACGCCGCGACGCGAGACATTCAGCTCATATTTGGTGACTTTTCCTAAATGCTCATTGCGCACATCTCAGCAAAAAAAAAAAGAATGCCGGGTCAGGTCAGGTCAGGTAACCAGAGCGGGTTTGTTGACCCCACCTCAGAAAAGTTTGCAAACACGTCAGAGCTTGAGTTTTTCACGAAGTTATTTCCTCTCATCAAGTCTTCAAAACAGTACCTGCAGTATGTGTCGTTTGTATATCTCAGAATTTTTTATTTGTGACCTGAGGTTAGGTCAGATTCGTGACCTTTACATTGCAAGCCTATGGAAAAGTATTGAAATGCGACCTGCACCTCGAGTAAACGAGTCAAAACCACCCAATTCTTTAAGAATTATGACAAATTATCTTATCTGTAATGATCCAGGTGCCATTTACTGACAGGGACACCGGAGAGGGTTATCTGAGCCGAGATCATGTGAGGTGATATCAGATATCTACCATACATCAATGCTCACAATACTTACAATATTGACAATGCTTTTGCTTACAACACTTACAATACTTACGATGAGACCAGCAAGCACTCTGCCGTTACAGTTCTAACTTCTGTTTCGAAAAACGACGTTACACACATTCGCTGCCAGCATAACATGTATTGTTTGACAGTAACAAAATACAATTGACATCTGAACCCCAAACGGACCGCCATCCACTCAAATTTTATAACCCTGACCGGTCAGGGGGCGAATGGAGGTCATTTCCTGGGCATTACACTCAGCCCTTGCACAAAATATCTCACCTCACAGTGATCATTACAACAATAGCACCGACTTGATAGTGGATTTCAAAGTACTTGCATCAGCTCTTCCTGCTATTGCAGACGATCATCTCCTCAGGGTTATGTTGTTCGGGACATGAACGAAGATCGTTTTCGGAGTTTCATAAGTGCTACTGCAACAGCCTGGCACAAAACAGGACTTGTACGCTCTTCTCTGCACTTTGCCCTTCAGTATATCACAAAAGAATTGTTTAGAATCCATCTTACGCTTCTTTCACAGTCTCCCTTGCCACCGTAGGGCGTAGATAGATTGCTGTTGCTGGTAAGTTAAGGCACGGTAGATAGAAATTACCTCGGTTCTCAACGCCTTAAGTTATTTTCATAAAAAAAAGAACAAATAAATGATCAATAAGATGACAGGAATGTAAACATTTTAATCGTAAAGTAGTCCAAATATTGGAATGAGCTTTTGCTATTCAGCATCCTCCGATTCATCATCTTTATCATTTGAAAATTCGAGGTACATAAAATGTTTATCACGCGCTCATGTTAAGTGGGAATATAGTACACGGCAGACACATCAATTTTTGGCACTGAACATTTCATCCGTAAATGTTTTAGCATAATTTAAAGTTAAAAACAGCGCGAATGGCAGAGTGAAGCAAACAACATCTTTCACCCATTGATATAACATGTAATCTGTGGTGCGCCAGATGCGCCATTATTTGTCAACCGCAGAAGGTGACATGTGACGTAACAGCATCAAGAGCATCTTTTTTCAAGAACTTTTCAAAACAAGTTTCCTATCTTTCTTCCCCCATTTCTCTCAGCTTATTGATTTTATGAGGCAATGGTATGCACCATAAATTCTGTGAAAATAGTTTGATCATTTTCATGCATTCTTAAAAAATCGAGTTCCCAACCCCATTGTAGCAGTAAAAGAGCTCCGCAGGAAGGTATTGAGTCTTGTATAAAAGGTGAATGTAACCCGGATCTACGGGACGGATTAGGCCAGTTCAATCAGGTAACGGAGATACATGGTGCTCGGTAGGATGTGTAGGAACATCATAAAGAGCAGCACGAAATACGCATCGGCAGCAGTAGCCTTAAATACCTTCAGCGTAAACGTCAACCCAATTACGCTATGATAAATCATGCGAAATCTGACAAGCCCACGCGGGCAGATCCTACCTTACCGAACGCGGAGGGCCTATGATCGATTAACCGATGCCCTTTCTGTGGGCACCTTCGGACGCTGACCACAGCGGTACGGCGAGCCGCTCGGGCCTCACCTGAGACTGGAGATGTCCTGCTTTATCTCCATGAAGTCGTCTTCATTGGCACCCGAGTGGCGATGCTGGTTCTTGAAATGGAAGATATATCTGCCAGCGCAGCGAAACCAGATCATGAGAAGGGCACATCAGTTGGAGCTATCGGGAGAACAATCCACTGCCAGCTGAAAAGGCGCATGAGACTGCAATACGAATCGGTGAATGTCGCGTAAGACTTTTCAATTTTAGCCTTCTCGTTAAACGTTCCCAGTTCCCAGCCGTCTCCCCTGTACTACTCCCCTCTACCCTAATGTCTGTCTCTCCCTGTGCAGTGTGCACATTACAATCTTCCCCGACTCGTGGTCACCCCTAGGTGCACCACCCCTGTCTTACCCACCTGCTGTCTTACCCACCCTGTCTTACCCACCTGCTGACTTACCCACCCTGTCTTACCCACCTGCTAACCAGCCGTCGCATCACCTCCGAGTACGGCACCTGGCACTCGAACGCCACCTCTGCCGTGGACACAGAGGTGGTGGCCGAGACCCGCGGCTGTCGGCCCGCGCCGCCCGCTCCGCAGCTGTCCTCGGCGCGGTCCGCCTCCGAGTCACGCGAGCCCGCCCGCAGCAGGAACCGCTGCGAACGGGGGGGGGTGAGATGAGGGGAGGGAGGGAGAGAGAGAGAGAGAGAGAGAGAGAGAGAGAGAGAGAGAGAGAGAGAGAGAGAGGGAGAGGGAGAGGGAGAGGGAGAGGGAGAGGGAGAGAGAGAGATCGGACGTGCTATTCAAAATACGTTCTTTATGAGCAATTTAGGGTTACCCAAAAAGCTGGCCTGTTTATCCTCTAGCTTAATAACAGACGACATTATAAGATAGCAACAAGCGTAACGCATCATCTATAGTCACGCATACTCGTTCATTGCCCCACGTAACTCCTATCGACCGCTTCCTTCAGGTAACCTTGGCCCTCTGTGCCAGCGCGAGGTTTATACCCAGCCCTAGTCTCCCCGGCGCCGCTCAACTCGAACTGTTCCCAGCCATGTGGACTGGCGGTGCGGCTGGGCGGAGCCGGCGACGGCGGGCCGCCGCGCTGACGGCCGACCCTCCTCGTGTCACGTCTCTCGCCGACGAGTGGGGGACCGGGCGCGTGACTGAAGCACCGACCCCCTGCCGAGCCCCCCTCCCCATCGGGAGCGGAGACTGCTGACGGCACAGTTTCACTCAGCTCAGAGCCGACCGTTCGCTGCCGGTTCAGACTCAGTCACCGCCGACAGCACTCCGGCAATGTCACTTGATTAGAATATGCACATGTGTAAATTTGGTCATCACTTCAGACACTTTCTGCGACGGGCCGAATGTGGATTGTAGAAACTTAGCTAATTGTTAGCGTTCGACAGCTGTTCATAGAATGAGCAACAGCCATTGGCTAGGCTACCACTGCATACTAATTTGTACCAGCTGTCCTCGACTTAAGATCACGAACTTTGTCCATCCCTCCCATAAAAGACAGCAAAATGCCACGGTCAAGCTCGACATTGTAGGCCGGACGAACGAACATGGAATGGCAAAAGTCGTCGGGGCATTATATAACAAAGTTGAAACAACCTTGGCGAGTCTCCAAGTTTGTAAGCAAACTACCCGAAACGTGCCTCGATTTGTGAACACATGCTAGGTTCTTTGTAAGATACGTACAGAGTGGCTATAGAAGTTGGACTTTTCAGGCAGTTGAGATCAGGATATAGCCGAGTGAGCTGAACAACAGATACAACAGTCTCGGTACCCCAGCCGACTGTCAGTTTCGAGCTCCGGCAGCCGAATACAGTGCCAGTTTATATCGTGACAGCGGACCAGCCGGTGGCCGAGCTGCCACGTTCGCTTCACATCAATGGCCGGTTCAATCCGGCCGCTCAACCAGCACTAAAAGCCACCCGACCCCGCTCTAACTATTTCGGGCACACTGGCGGCTACAAGCGGGGCTGGAAGCGATGGGGTAACGAGGGAAATTGCGTCGGACTAGAGCGTACGCCTGCTTATTTCCGTATACCGTGATGTCGAGTGTAATGCCAAAATGGGGCCCAAACTGATTCATGCCCTCCTGCCGCCTGTTGCCACCAGCGTTACCCCGAAACCCACACTCCTAAGCCCTGAACCCCCTCCCCTCCCCCTCCCTCCGCCCCCTGCCCAACTCACCACTCCGCCGTTGACTCCCGTCTTCTGCTCCTGCTCCTGCTGGTGTTGGTGCCTCTGCTGGTGCTGGTGGTGGTGCTGGTGCGCCGTGCCGTTATCCGCCGGCCGCAGTCGGGCGCGCACGGCCCCAGTGCACTGTCTCGCCGTGCTAAGCACCCAGCGCACGGCGTACCACACCCACTTGGGGCTGACGACCATGTTGAACGGCGGCGGCAGCGAGGAGCCCTGCTCAAAGTAGGACATCCACAGCTGCGAGCGAGCAAACTTCCACTCCCGGTCGGCGTGGTCCTGCCGGCAGAGCAGCGGAGCGGTCAGAGAGGGAGAGGGAGAGGGAGAGGGAGAGGGAGAGGGAGAGGGAGAGGGAGAGGGAGAGAGAGAGAGAGAGAGAGAGAGAGAGAGAGAGAGAGAGAGAGAGAGAGAGAGAGAGAGGACGAGAGTAAAGGGAACAAACAGCGAGGGAGGCGCAAGATAAGTTTGATGTGCAGCTTAGCGACAACAGCTAAGCCGACGGAGCGACGAGAAACGTCTAGAGTAGTGGAGGGATGAGAGAAGAAATGGCAAACGCCAACGGAACAACGCGACAGAGATAAACAATGTGGATGCATACTGATAGGCAGACACATACCATAACAGAGGGGAGAGAGGGCCGGGGTAGGGTAGAGTGCGGGGACCAAGACACGGAAATGAGCAACCAGCGCATAATACAATTAGTAAATTAGACGCCGGATTGTATTAGCATATAGCAACGGCGGTGATGGTACGAAGGACCAACCCAGAAAAAAAACTCGCAACGATCCGTATTGATCAAGCACGCAGCCATTCTGGTAGGCTTGGAGGAAGCTTGACTAGTGCAGCCGGGGGTGTCCTGGACATTGTTTTAGCAGATGCAGGCAACTGAAGTCGAATTCAACGCCAACTACCTTGAAATCTTCCTTGTTCTGTCTAGCTTGCACAACAGGCTGATGTTCAAACGGTTATGACATATGTTGCGGAAACAATTTTCCGGCAGCGGAAGCAAGAAATTCCAGAATTAAACCTTATTACTAGTTAATTGCGACTTCCGCTCATCCTACGATGCTTCCTAGCTAACACAGAAGCTGATCATTGGTTAAGCTTCCTGGCAGCGCAGGCATATGAGACTAAGATCAGATGGGACACACTGAGTAGCCTTTCGACACGACACGAACAGTGGCGACATTTATCCGATTTCAAACGGACACTCCATTTCAAGCGCCCATGTCCGTGGACACCGGCACCCCCAGTCATCTCTGCAATCAGCAATCGCCACGTCGGACGGGTCCCAGTCACCTAACTCTCGGTAACTTTGGATTCCGACTGGGCCGCCGTGACAGCAGCTGGTGCCATTGAGCGGAGCACCAGTCGGCCGGCGGCGAGTGAGAGCTCATGAGGTGGCCGGCAGGACTACTCTGGTGAGAGAGGACATTTGGCGGCACTCCGCCGCCGGTACTCAGATGAAACCATCAGCATAGGCGGCGGAACGGAGAGGGCACCGGGACACCGTGCCCCCTTTTGATTTTGGCATTTTAACATTAGCCCTATGGGCGTTGCATGGAAAGAATCGGACCAAAACTCGGCAGTGCCCCCCCCCCCCCCTTAATTGAAGGAGTTCCGCCGCTACTGACCATCAGTGCACTCGGCATCAAATGATTGGGATAAAACGGCATAATTTCAACGAGCATGGTATAGCGTAGCATCTGCACAAATTTTCAACGATTATGGTGCATCGTTGCATTTGCGGACTGTAAAATGCACATGATCAGGTTTTGATGCTATATCGAAACATTTATCCAGCCAACTTCGTGCTATTTTCCAAACAGCTTCGTTTTCCTGAAATTCATTGTTTGCGGAACAGCTTTAGTCACATGAAAGGATGCATTAAGAGAGCAGGAACAAACGCACCCAAAACTGCTTAACAATGGATCACTTAGGCAAGGAATTAAGTACCCAACGGTGGCAGTACAAGTTCTGGTAGCGGCACCGCGGACCTCACCTCGACGATCTGGAAGCTGCGGCTCATCATGGCGATCAGCATGTTGACCATGACGGTGACGGCCATGATGAGGTAGGCTCCGAGCAGCGTCTGACCCAGCAGGTGGGTGACGGTCTGATGGCGGCGCTGGTCCAGAGCCTGCACAGGGATCTGGCCGAACAGCGACCACAGCAGCGTGGTGTACGAGGTGCCGATACTGCCGACAGAGTACAGTCATGGACGGTCAGTACCGATACTGCCGACAGAGACAGTAGGCGGTCAGTACAGCGTGGTGTACGAGGTGCCGATACTGCCGGCAGAGACAGTAGGCGGTCAGTACAGCGTGGTGTACGAGGTACCGATACTGCCGACAGAGACAGTAGGCGGTCAGTACAGCGTGGTGTACGAGGTGCCGATACTGCCGGCAGAGACAGTTATATACGGTCAGTACAGCGTGGTGTACGAGGTACCGATACTGCCGACAGAGACAGTAGGCGGTCAGTACAGCGTGGTGTACGAGGTGCCGATACTGCCGACAGAGACAGTAGGCGCTCAGTACAGCGTGGTGTACGAGGTGCCGATACTGCCGGCAGGGACAGTAGGCGGTCAGTACAGCGTGGTCAGTACCGGTACTGTCGACACAGTACAGTACACGGTCAGTACCGATACTACCGACAGTACAGTAGACGGTCAGTACAGTGTGGTGTACGAGGTGCCGATACTGCCGACAGAATGCAGTGGACGGTCAGTACCGATACTGCCGACAGAGTACAGAAGACTGCAGATTCCAAATGATGAGCATTTCGAACGAAAACCGTAAGTATCTTCAGACAGCAATAGAGCAAAGACAATTTCGAATGGCCTGTCTCCTCTAACTTGGTCAAGCATGCCGGCTGAGAATAGCAGCGAAGCGATTGAATGCATTCAATAACCAAAGCCCACCAGAATCCCGATGTTTATCAGTTTCTCCAACACCGGATATTGGATCTCCTCGTCTGAGAGCGCCGTTCCACCGCGGCCGGCTCTGGACAGGACCTGAGTCCCAGCCGACCCTTCAGCTGGCATCTCTGACGTTAGCGGCAAAAAACAGCGGCGGGCAGACGACCTTAGAGGAGACCCGCACACTTCAAACGCACGCATGGACAAAGGAGCCGGCCGAGCTCTGCCGGTGGCCGCGCAGGCCACACAGAGATGAAACGCCCGCCGCCGCGACAAATTAAAAAGGCTGTGAATAGCCGGGTTTGTGTGCGTGGGTGTGGCAGAGGAGGAGGGTTGAATGAAGTTGTGCTCATTTCAGAACAAGATGTTGAGAAATGTAGAAACGGAATTGCTGCTATCAGAAAACACAGGGCAGGGTATTTGTATACAGCTATTACAACAACTTGAGTTGACTGATGTCCAGTAAGACCAAATCAAAGGAGTTAACATGGAGTTACAATATAAAAACATGACAATGTTGTACGCAACTAAAATCCCAAAGTAACAATACCAAAAATAAGCCTTTCGCGTAAACAAATATCCAAAGCCACGGGGTACCCTTCTCAGACGGCAATAAATACAACTACGGACAGCGCCGGCACCGCCCTATCTGCCCGGGTCGTAGTTTCAAGACCAAAGACGAGATCGGGAGACTCCTAACTGCACTCGGGGATCGACAAAAGCGCTCCACGGCGGGTATTCGTCATCTGGGGCCCACTATCTCACGTCGATCGCCGTCGGGTCTCTCTCGTCTGACCATCGAATATACCATCCGGACCGACAGAAAGGGCGTGGAACAATCGGAAAAGAAGCCGCGATTAGGTGGGAGAACTGAGAGAACTCGGAGAGAGCAAGCACAGATAGAGAGGAGAGGACCGCGAGTTTCGGCGAGATGGCGCACTTCAAAGGGAACCTTCTGTTGTACCGGGACGCCGGCCCTCCCTGTCGGCCCCCCAGACAGACTACACGAGGTAATTAGATCGCTCGAGAACGAGCCGGACGCAGGCAAGATGCGCGGTAAGCTGCCGTCCGGAGCGAGGCGAAGTCGTCCGGTCAGCAGCGGCAGAGATGCAGCGGCACGCAGCGCCGTCCCCATTTCCAGGGACGTGAGATGAGACCACGCAGCAAAACAACAGCGCGTCGTCGACATAAGTGATGCGACATTTAAGCCGCTTAATGGTTGGGATCCGTCACGGATTAACTCAGCGAAGGGGTCGATTTTACAGCCAATCCGCTGAACGATCTAGAACGACCGGTTGAGTCGTCACACAAGTTGCCTACAAGTTAACGTTTTGGTAATTCGGGCACCATTTCTTGCGAGGGAAGCCCGACATTCGCCAGCAATGGAGTTATTTTGCTTCCGTGCTGCCGGTAACGCAGTGAAGGTAAATACTGATGCGAGAATTCGCTTGAGCTCCTACTTCCACCAAGGCCTCGCTAAAAATAGATAAGTGTGTTACAAGTTGCAAGCCGAAACTTACGGCATTTACTTCAAAAGTTTTGGTTCCAGGTAGTAGCCTAAAAGATCGTCTGAATACGAGAAAATGTTCAAAAGCCAATCACATAACAAACAAATCGCTTCACGGTGGGTAATTAAGCACAATGCACCTCGACAGATAGGGACATTTATGTTGGGTATCGTTTCCTCCGTGGGCCTCGCTGTCTGTCACCGGTTTTTCAATTATTCCACGCCTCCCCCTATAGGATGGGTCCCGCCGCTCTAATAACGGGTCACACCAACAAAGCTGAATCGCACAGATACAGGCTTTGATACGTCTCAGGACGAAACATTTTGAAGCATGATAAGTGGAATGTTATGTCCACATGGCCTCACAGTCGAATAAAATAGACACAAAGATTGTTTTGTCTTTTCAAAACACAATGCATAGTTTTATCAACACTATTATGTCAGCCAATCCGTTCGGTGCTTAGTCTATGTTAGTCGCTCTTTATTCACGCTCTGAAAAGTACTTACATTACGAAGAGTTTGCTTTTCACGCTCTGAACAGCTCGGTACTCACGTTCTGAAGAGCTCTCCGCCCGAGTTGTTCCCGGGCGTGTGTCGGTAGTACCAGTAGAGCTGGTTCAGACCACACGACTCGGTACTCACGTTCTGAAGAGCTCTCCGCCCGAGTTGTTCCCGGGCGTGTGTCGGTAGTACCAGTAGAGCTGGTTCAGACCGCACGACTCGGTACTCACGTTCTGAAGAGCTCTCCGCCCGAGTTGTTCCCGGGCGTGTGTCGGTAGTACCAGTAGAGCTGGTTCAGACCGCACGACTCGGTACTCACGTTCTGAACAGCTCTCCGCCCGAGTTGTTGCCGGGCGTGTGTCGGTAGTACCAGTAGAGCTGGTTCAGACCGCACGCGAAACTCGTCAGGATCAGGAAAAAGATGAACAGAAACTTGATGATGTCTGAAAAGGAGACAATACACCATACGGCTAGTGCTGAATGAGACCCAGGAAAAAGCACGTGCCACTAAGGCAACTCGCATTTAGAAACAGTAAACACGATAAGCATTTACAGGTCGATTGCCTATTACTAAACACACAGCCACAGGAAATGGCGAACCGTACACGGTTTACAAGCTTACGTGACCAAGCATAGGTAGCTTCGCTTCAGTCAGCATACATTAACATCAAGTGATCTGGCCTTGCCGGAATATCTCCTGATTATTACGACAACTGCATTAAAATATAATTACGCATTTAAAACACAAAGTAAATCTCTTAACCCGCGCACCGACGGGGGTCTGCGCCAACTTCGTACCGACGGGGGGGGGGGCGGATGACCGCCCCCCCTGAGATCTCGAGAACGAAGCAAGATAGCGACAAGCGGTAAACGGCATCGGATACGCACGGTCAAGATCTACAATTTTTACTAAGGTCATTTTCAGGTCAGGTCAAAGATGACGTCACAGGGGTCGAAAAAGTCAAAATGGCGGCGCTGGATATGGAGAGAGTTTTTCTCGAATAACTTTCGAATTAGTCAAGATAGGAACAAACTAAGGGCAGCATCGTGATCCTCTCGTCAATCTGCATCGAATAATATATATGTTGACCTCGAAAGGTCAAGGTCAAAGGTTGACCTCAGGTCACGTGACCTCGAGGTCATCATATATATCATTCGATGCGTCTTGACGAGCTGAACACAATGAGACCATCCACGCGTCTGTATCTTGTTCCTGTACGGAGTTATTGGCCAAAAACCTTTGGTGACCTTTGATGACGTAACATGACCTCACAGCTGCCCAACAGCAAAACAGACCTCAAGGTAGTGAAGGTTGATCGTATATGAAGTCATGTATGGTATATGGGGCCATTCCGACCCGTTTTAGTGGTAAAAACAGGGAGTTGATTTTTCCCCCATTGACTTATAATGGGGAGGTCGCGAAATTGACCTGACCTTAGGTCACCGATATCAAAATTCCGAGATACACAAATTGTAGCTACTAATGACCTAATAACATCCTGCGACTTTCAAAGGCCTCCGACATCTACTGTAGCTCTGGCACGGTGACAAAGTTGCAAAAAAGTGACTTGAGGTTGGGTCATTCAAAGTGACCTGGTGACCTGACCTTGAAAGGTAGGAGGTTCAAACTTGCACACCATGTGTAAAATTGATGAGGGAATAGTCATACCAAATTTCGCGGCGCGTAGCGCCGCGGTTTTCCCGCTATTCGCGAAAAACCTCAGGGGGGGGGGGCGGATATCCGCCCCCCCCGTCGGTGCGCGGGTTAAATGTTGTCCATACATTGACGTGTCTTACTGAAACCGCCATCCTGATCAAGTGGCCCAGGACCTCACCAACTGGCCTGATCACGATGTCAACTGATGACCCCACCGCCCCTGATCACGTGACCCAGTGACGACCCACCGTCCCATCACGTGACTGACCGATGATCATGCATCCGAGTGAGATCTGCAGCGGCCCCAGGTGCGGGTTGGTCTGGAACAGGTAGATGATGCGCGCGAAACTGAACACGGAGGCCACAGCGAACAGGCCCTCGGCGATCAGCGTCGGGTCGTTGATGGGCCACAGCAGACGGTCCATCTCCCTGGTGGGAAAATAACGGGGGTCAGATACTGAGGCTCAGATACTGGGGACTGGTGGGTCACAGCAGACGGTCCATCTCCTTGACGGGGGCGGGGGGGAGGGGGGGCACTAACAGGGGTCAGATACCGAGGGTCAGACAGTAGGGACAGACAAGGAGGGTCAGACACGGACATACAGGTGATATATTACGGCTTAACTATTGCGGTGTTTAGAGCTGCTCTGGCAAGATACGTAGAAACAACGATAGTGACATTTTCATGGCTTGATACTGTTCTTTTCACTCCTCCTACACACACACACACTCTCTCTCTTCCCCTCTCTTTGCCCTCCCCTAACTCTCTCCCCCCCCCAACCCCTCTGCGCTTCACTGTGTTCATTAGCAGACGAGGCAACTAGTTAACTGTAGTTGGTCCCGACTCAAGTTCTATCCGCCGGACTCGACCCGCCCTCGGTAGCCCGGTTTGGTGTCAAACGTCGCAGTTTAACGGCAAAGGCTAGACGCCGGCGCAAATCAAACGTATCGCTTGTTCTGACCTCTGGTCGGCGTCATTTACACCAGACGAAATGTCATACGGCTCTGAAAATCTCGCCATCAGAGCGCAGCCCAACTCCAAACGACTCCCATCTCACCACCTCCGCACCGGAGGAGGGGCGCGCCGCGTGCCGAGTCACCTCTCATCCGGCCGATCGACCGGCTCCCATTGACATCTGGGCCAATTCACAGCCACTGGCGATCCGACCGCCGCTCGAAACCCGATCTGTTGGCTCCGGCTGTCGTGCCGTGCCGAGGCCACAAATCAGCGCCGGACCAGCGCTCTGAATAGCCGCCCGCGGCGCAGCGCAGTGCCCGGTACATTTGTCCCGTCGCGTCGTATTACTGGCGCGTGCTCGAATGACCATGGCGTGGGCGCAGCTCGGGGAGGGGGGGGGGGGCGGGGGGGGGGCAAACAGCCCTGGCACAGCGAGCGACAGACCAACACCAGCACTCTGTGGCGCGGAACGGGTTATCAGGTCAAATGACACATTGCCTGAGTGAGTGCAGTGCACAGAGTGAGCGGAAATTGAGCGTGAATTTCTTTTCGTTTCAAATATTCATCGGAAAAATGTACCAGCCATTACCAGGAGTCAGAATGCCTCCCTCGACAGTGACTTACGTGCTCATTGATCCGGCGTTTCATTAATTATCAAACACGTGTATCATTTTCACATTTAACTCAGATAATGTTTTCATTAGCACAATACCAAACAAATCGTGGACCTAACAAGGAGCATGGAGATCATTTTCCCACCCTTTCAGTAACTTTTTTGTCAAAAACTTTTTCACTTGCATTCACATTAGCAAATATGGTGACCATAAAAAAGGACCGCAAGGACCAGAAAATGAGGATTCGCGGCAGAGGACAACCTGCGGTGGTCGTATATCACGACACTGATTTCTCAAAATACGATTAATTTCTGAGATCAAGCTGAGGGACCCCGAATACCGATTTTTACTCAGCTTTGGGTAGCTTTTAATTTAACACCTAATGCCTTTCCCCAAACTACTTCTTGTAAAACCGCTCCGTTAGCTTTTTTAAGTTTCGGGCCAAAACGGCTGACAGCGAAGTTTGACACGCCGACTGCTTCTCATCGCAACAAAATAGTTTTATGAGTGGCCGTAAAAGGCTCCCGTCGGGGAAAAGTCAACCTTCGCAGGCGTAGTCCGAAAGCAAAAACACAAGGGAGGAGCTAGAGGATCATTGGTGAATAGGTGAATAAGTAATTGAGCGAATAGGCGAATAAGTAATTTACGGGGGCAAGTTGCAAAACGAGCTAAAAAAAAAAAAACTAGTCAGTTTAGCTTTCCATGAATCCGGCCAGTCAGTGCATACCTGCATACCCGGCTGCACATCTAACACCTCAAGAGTTTCTGTACTTTCTATCATGTACGTACGCACTTTTGCCTAGGTCAAGCCACCAGCACTATGCGTCCGGTTTACCAGTTTGTCAAGAGTGTGCGCCTGTTTTGCCTTGGTCTCGCATCCGGCTGCTCCCGCTAAGCGCTTCATTGAGCCGCCACTAAGCACCTCATTAACCCAGTCCGTGGCCTCTGTTCAGCTTTCCGCTCAACTTCGCCTTCGGCAATGCTAACTTTTGGCTCCGTTTTGGCTCATGCCCCGGGTGGTGGGGAAACTTATCAAACAAACTACTCCCTCCTAACAAACTCCGCAGTAGATCATATTTTGCTTCTAGCTCCCTCTATCCCTCCCTCCCTCCTTCCCTCCCTCCCCCTCTCTCTCTCTCTCTCTCTCTCTCTCTCTCTCTCTCTCTCCCACACGTATTTACTCGCGTGGTCAGCCCAGCGATAAGTCAAATCAGCAGTCGTGGTAAGCGCGGAGCTCGCTAGTCTGCTAGCTGCTTTCCAACCTAACGCTTGCTTGATAAATTCTGCGCTTATCTCACCTTAGCTCGCTGAAATTATTACCCATATGTTCCCACACATATCCAGAAGATGCAATATGAGAAATGCTCAGCCTGGAAGTGACCTGTCAATCAAAGTGTCCAATTGCGCTGTCTGACTACTGGTTCACTCCCCCCTGCCCTTTCCTTCCACTAAGAGACTGACCGGCAGCCGTAGGATCCGGAGCGGATCTGGAAGTAGGCCACCGCCCGCAGCGAGAAGCTGCAGATGTAGATTGAGAGCATGACGAAGTCGAGCCAGTTCCACCACTGGCGCACGTAGCCGCTCAGCCCCTCGTCCCAGAGCTGTTTACACTCGGCCCACACCTGACGGAAGGGGGGGGGGGAGTCAGGGGGCGGGGTACGGCGGCAGGGGAGTGCTGCAGAGGTCAGTTCGAGAACCAGGCTGCAACTCCGTGCGGCTGGTATGTGTTTAAATATGCATCTGGTCCGTGTGATTCTATGAATCTGGCCAGTGTGAGCAGGGAAAGCAACTCCAAGTTTCTACCACTGACCCAGTTATAGCAGTAAGCGGCTCCACTCCAATACCCGCTCAACTCGGTACGACTACATAGAGGCAGACTCTCGGAGAACCTGCTTAATGACATACGCTGCTCCGTAATGATATGCACCGCAAAGGCAGATTGTGTTGACAAGCGATACGCTGGTTTTCTTAGAAACAAAGAGGCGACACTTGTCCGTGTCAAACTTGCGTCTGACACACATTTCATGATTTGGGTAATAGCTTGTCTTCACTTCTGCAGTCGTGCAATTTAATTGTCTCCGTGTTCATCACATCCTCAATAAAAACTGAGACCTGTAAAATGATGAAATTAAAACCCAGACGTATTGTGTTCGGCGCAGTAATGCAAGTGGTATCCGCCGGCGAGCGAACCTCTGTAAGATGACACCAAGACGTGATATATGTAACTGCCGGAGAACGCACACGGCGGGGTCTGGATACTAATTCCAGGTGATCGCATCCAATCAGAAATGGTGGGGATTGCATGGTTCCAATAACAGAGGCTACAAAGCCGATTAATGATTGCTCATTCGATGCGCACTGCGCTCAAAGCAGCTTTCAATGGGATGCACTGACATCGTCATTGTGCTCTATTCGTTAGAAATATAAGAACGGGTCAATGTTTCATACGTTATTAAACTTTATCATACTTATTTCGCCTTACGTTTTTACCTTTGAGAAAATACACATAACGTCTGATAAAGAACGGTATGCTGAGACGGAGCAATATGAAGCATTGTTAAACAAACAGTGAGGCCCATATTCATTACCACGATCAGACTGCGGTTTTCCCATCCCACCGAGTAAGAGGACTGGTAAGCCCCAGCAGCGGCCACCTACCATTCCGGCCACCCAGAAGATGATGAGCCACTCGACGGGCGACGGCTTGGGGCCGCGGATGTTCTCGTGGGAGCGCTCGTCGCCCTCGGGCCTCATCGAGGCCAGCACCAGCAGCAGCAGGAAGAAACAAAACGACGCGCTGAAACACACAGCCACGGTCAGCAAATCAGCGCGTGAGCATCAGCATTTCATGACGAAACGCGATGGAACATGCCGATGCATAAATGTAAACCGGCATGGTAGCTGTTTGTTCCCTAATGGCCGTGCATGTACAATAATACATTCATATTGCATGCGCGCAAAACATTCTCTGAATGTAAAGTTCATAATTCAACTGCTTGCTCAAATCAGTGACCTTTTATTGGTCAAAACTCACGGGTAAAATCTGCAGAAAAGGCCAAGATTGGTTGGTTCCAAACTCCATAGAATACAGCGCCATTAGTGCCTTCTGTTCTATTCAACTACTTCATTTTACGGCACGATAAAACATTCAGAATGATTTCCGCCAACCTAAGAGTCTCTGAAGCGTAAGAGGAAAGCTTTAGAAAAGAAACGATTTAGTGGCTACGGATGAAATCTACTTGAAAAGGTGCTATCCATATGTTCTCGAGTCAGATACCGCTAATATTGGTGAAAAGTCTTATCAGCAATGAGTGATGGTCCCGTAGCTCAGTCGGTAGAGCGTTGGACTCCGCGTGGTGAGAGGACACGTCCCGGTTACAACAGTCCTTGGTTTGAGGCGCGATGGGCGCCCGAAGCTAATAAAACTCCTCACGGGTATGGGACGTGTGGTTGGTGGCAGACCGTAGCCATCTGAAGTCAGTGAGGGGACCGGTTGAGCGCGGATTTACGCGTCCGTTAAACCTTGGACTCTAAATTCTGCCATAGACCAGAAATTGCACAATCGGAATGAAGGGGGCAGGGTCAAAGCGACAAGCTCTGTTTAGCGGGCGCTCTGTCATTGTGCACTCATGCGTTCAAAACGTTAGATTCTGCATTCTTTGAGATACCACCCGAGCGTGAGATTGACGAATGAGCGCTACACAGTACACAGTAATGGTATACCTTGATCATTGTCAGCCCGCATTCAACCTTACCATCCTATTAAATGCTGTCCAATATGTCACATTCAATGCTCACGGCAAAAGGCGTCATCAACAACATTCATGCTACTATTTTGACAGAATATTCGTATGGTCTTTTTTTGCTATCTTCCATGCTCCTGTCTCCGTACAATCCCTGCCTCCTTCGCTCCCTCACTCGGACCCCGCTGTCGCCGACCCACCTGTGGTAGATGAACTTCATGAACGGACTGCGGATGGCCCGGCCGACCCGGGAGCGCGGGAAGAGCAGGTAGAGTACAGAGAGCAGCGGGATGAGCAGCACGATGACGGCGCAGATGAGCACCTTCAGCAGCGGGTTCCGGCCGCGCCACAGCGGCAGGCCCGTGTACCACACGGACATCAGCATCTGCTGGCTGTGCGAGTGGGCCACAAACTAGCGACAGAGTTACGTGTCAGTAAAACGGGGATTCTCGACAATAGTCGATACTCCATATGGCGACAACGGAATCCACGCAACATAAATTTGGTCAGTGACCATATTCATAGCACAAATTTATGATTGCCTCGTAAGATAAAGGTCATGTCCGAATACCAACTAAGACCTAAATGGTGTGACTAAACACACATTTGCACCTACGTGCCCGCACACGTAAGTCACACACATGCACGCCCGGCGAGTTTCACCTGTTTCTGTTCGTATCGGATGGCCAGCCGGAGTCTACTGAGCGCCGCCGGCCGATCGTCCTCGGCAGCGGGCCAGTCGGCGTCCTCCACCTCCTCTCCGTCCTCGCCGGCCACCAGGTCCTCGCCAGGAGTCCTCCGGTCCAGCACTGCCAGCACCTGAGCGGGCGGAGAGGAGGAGAGCGGCGGTCACCGGGAGGATTTGGCACGTACTAGCTTTGCACACATAGTTAAATATCAACTCAGGACGAAGAGCTCCAACGAAAAGAGCGAAAAGAGCTTGGAAAAGAGTCGTTTCCTGGTGCAAGAGCTCCAACCTCAAAAGTTGTTTTCTGGTGTACCCAAAGACGGAATAAGCAACTTAATAAAATCTGAGCTAAAATTGGGCAATTCACGATATGACCCATTCCATAATAAGCTAGACAAGGCTGCCTAACGGGCTATCCTAAGCTGTGGCAGTGCTCAGCACCGTCCCAGGCGTCTTGGCCGGCGCATAACCGCGGTAAATGTTTAATCAATGTCCGCGGGGCAGAGGCTGCCCCCTGCGCTGTTCCCGGATACCAGCCAACTGCGGTACTATCACTGCCAGAGCCGCTGGAGACGCAGACGGCAGACTCGGCGGCGCACTGTACTGCTGTTCTACCACTCCCAGCAGATTAGACTCAGCATTCGCGGGATAACGTGGATCGGTCTCGAACTCTCGTATCACGAGACATATTTGTTTATTCGATAGAACAAAACTGAGCATTGCATTAAATATGCATGGGCATTGATGGTAGCGTGTTGTGTGCCTCACCACATATCCAGTCTGGTGTCATGCTCCGTGCCGTTACACGCAGGCAATCTGCACGCAGGCACGTCCCACACAACACAGCACACGTGTAGTGTGTCATGTGTATTGTGTACTGTAGTATGCCACAAAACAAAACAATACCACCCCCGCCCCAGCGCGGCCCATCCCCTCGCGCGTGTCTCGGGACTGCAATAAACGACCGACGGCGGCCGGCGCGGGCCCGGGGGTGCCTTTCTTCTGGCGCGGGCGGTGCGCCGAGATCGTCATTGATCGCCGCGAGGACAGGTGAATGACGCGACTGATAAACGGCTTACCATAATGCCGGCGAGCGTCCGCCTACGGGTAATGTTCGGCGCCCGGCTGCGGGGGCAGCTATGTCGGGTGGGCGGCCGCTAATGGCGCCGCTGCAGACCGGCATTGTTTATCGGTCGGTAAAGGGGCCGGACCTACTGGTAGGGCGATCTCGCCCGCTTCTAGTACCACTGAAACTTATTCGGACTTTATTACAACCACCCACATAAGCGTTGGTGTTTCCTTACCGGTGCATAACAAGCTTCTCCTCGGTTTAATAACAAAATATATGCGAGAAAGCGATTGCAATCTCCCAAGTCTTCCCAAAAAGTGACACGGAACTTACTATCAAACAGCGACTAACCTCAATGATATGCTGCTGTAACTTCACTGACTTCCACGCACTGAATACTGACCTAAGCAGCCTGTGGCGACTGACTTCCGAGACCCATAGGGCTGGCATTGAATGTCCGAGGGTCCTTGCTAACCGAGACTGACCTCGGACTGAGATCCGACCCCTCACTGACCTCCTCTGAGCTGCGGCACTGCTCGAGCAGGTCACAGGCGTAGCGTTTGCACTGGTCGCTCAGCTGCTGGTAGGTCTGATGGAACTCGTTCTCCCTCCGACTCAGCTCAGTCAGCTCCCACGACAGCTGCAGTGCAGAGTCAGAGTCAGAGTCAGAGTCGGGCCCACATACTCACGGTGAATCATGGTAACAGTACAGGGTCACTGACAGCTGAGTTAGATGACTCGGCAGTCACAGAGTCCTGGCTTCATTCAGGGTCCGCTCTCACGACAGCTGAAGCATGTAGATTCAAAGAAGCAATTGGAATATATAACGGCTACAATATTGTCACAGAGTCGTGTGTTACTGCAGGACAGAGAGTAACAGTCAGAGTCATTGACAGAATCATGGGAAAAGACTGAAGTAGGACAGAGTGCATGGAGTGACAGAGTTAAGAGAACAGAGCCCCGATTACATAGGCATGGTCACGAAGTTTCGGTCACACACTCACAGTCACATGGGTCCATAGCATAGCTGTTCGACCCATGCCCTCGCATCCTTCAAGTTAAACATACCTCCCCAGATTTATACAGCTGTCATTATCGTGCGCTAGCTTATCAACATGTGGATCTAAGATTTTGCTAACGCTAAGCACCATGCGAGTGTGGCTGATGAAACCTCACGGCAGGTACGTAACAAGCATCGCCCTCCCCCGCACAGTTTCTTGGACCAGTTTCTGAGCTCACTCTCACTAATTGGTAATCCGATAAATTAGACTGCAGGGTTGGTCTAATTATAAAATGGCGGCGGCACTGATCGTGGCGAGGGCTCAAAGCGTGGGGGACGAGAGACGTTCCTCTGTTCCAGCTACCCTAGCGCCGGCACGTGAGTGCATTTCGGCGTCACCCGCAGTGGAACAGGTGGCCATTGAAACGCCACGACAACGTAGCCAGCCATCCATTCCACTCAAATCCTCCCACCACCCAGCTCACTTCTCGCAGGAAATTCTCACGCGCCGAAACCTCTCCCGTCCATCTCAATCACCGCGCTCCGGCAAACCAAACAAACAGGCCGAGCTCATTCGATTTAGCATGCATTATGACGGCGCCTTTTTCGGTCGGAAATATACGCCGATAGATGGACTGACGCCGAATGCGCCAATATCCGCTGACGGTTCTGTGGTGAGACGGTGAGCTGCTCCGAGGCCCGGCGTTTTGTCAACAGTTCTCTTTGATGGTAGGGTGTGATTGGGACTCCGGAGGGAGGGGGGGGGGCACGGGTCTCTATCAGAGCAGCCTCAGAGCGGACGAAGCGGTTCTGGGCCGTTCACCGCCCGGCGCCGGCGATAGTGACAAACATAAAGGGAGAGCGGCGGCGCAGAGAGACAGTGATGGCGGCGGCTCACGAAGAAAACACGTCAGCTCCATCTCTGAACAAGTTGTGGATAGAACATTTGCCTTTTGCAGTGCAAGAACTCCAAAAGTTTCAATTCCATGGCAGAACATCGGCCATCCTCCAGCATGTATATACTCTGCTCCAACAGACAAGAAGTGGTAATTTCTTTTATGCTGGATTTTGGATTTTGGTAACTAATAAGCAACTTCGCCTTCCCCACTCGGGTCATCGGTCCCTAAACTACCCTTGGCCCCTCTATAATGACCCCAGCACCCACCCTCAGCGTCTCGCCCTCCCACGTACTCTGAAGGCCTCCAGGATGGGGTCCTCGCTGGTCAGGCTGATCCAGGCCGGTCCGCTGAGCGCTCGGTACGTCTGAATGCGGCACAGAGAGCGGCGCAGGCGGTCCTCCTGGATCTCCTCGGTGCACGGCCGGCAGCCGCAGTCGCTGGCGTGCGGACGCCGGATGAACGCGCCTGACGGAAACGAGGGAGGAAATACATAAAATATCAGCAAACATAGTATCCAGCTCAGTAACTTGGGGAGGGTTTACATTTCCTACAATGAATATCAACATAAAGTACCTAGCCTTTTAGTGCCTTTTCACGAATTTAATAAAAGGTGAGCTGGTTTCCTGCATTCATACGTGACGCACTTCTAGAGATGTCTAGCATTGTGACAATCCGCTGCATACCTGTCCCTCGGTCCCCTTCAAAGACAGCTGCACTTTTCCAGCGTCGTGCCCGGGCGGAGCTCGGGAAGGATTGCCACGCCCGTTCTGATAAGGCTGGTGGCAGAGGATTTCACTATCTCTCTATGCCACCCATTACAGTCACCGAGTTTGTGCTACTTGGCAGCACACTCGCCCCGTCCCCCAGACAGACCAGAGCCCTGCTGGGGATGGTAGGAGCGCCCGGGGCGATGACCCCATATAAAATTAGTTCGGATCCATTCACGGACGGGGTTTGGGCCATAAGTAGAATAAAACATGGCCCCAATGGCGGTATCGCGTGCAGCCTAACATAACCCGTCGCTGACCATCGATCGCCTGATGAGCAATAACCACAATCTGTGAAACTCGGCGAATAGTGAATGCTTTCCAGAAAGGCTGTAACGTGGCGCCCCTCGTGCTTCTTGGTGTTGGTGAAGCAGACTCGGCTCCGAAGAAAACTCAGATGTCAGTTGTTTCTTCTATTCAGCCAAGCAGGGGACACGCTAACATGACGACCCGGTGGATCTTGCGCCGCCCTAGGACAGAGGTCTTGATGGTACAGTGCCTCGGTCCGAACTGAACTAACCTAGCTCGCGACAGTCAGTTTTTATACGCGCGGGTCACGTGGCTAGCCTCGTGACTCCTTTGTGCGCACAATGCTGATGCAATACCGTAGTCACTTTACATAAGCTTATACACGTCAGTCACGTTGCTGGCCTTGTGACTTCTTTGTGCGTACATTGCTGATGCAATACCGTAGCCGCTTAACATAAACGCAACGTCAATCACTTATGCAAGAGGCGGATCTCGCCCGTCGTTGCACAGTCACGCACCATCAGTCCTCACGGACACTTTGTATACCCCTGTCACTGGTTGATAATAGCCAGATGTCCTGAGCTTGCTCTTCCTTGTACAGATGTCACAAACAGTCCCATCATAATAAGCCGCTTCTCGGAACGGGTGTGTCCCAGTGGCAATAGGTATGCGTGGCTCGACTTGTTTATAGTTTCGGAGCGGGCTGGTCTCGGTGACAGCTGGTACGTGACTCGAATGTTTAGAGTTCGTGGCGCCGCGTACGGTCAGTGAGGCGAGCGATGGTTGAAAAAGTTAGGGGTGAGTACCGGGTCAGACGCTACAATACCTCCCCCCCTTATAAACAAAGCAATTTACGCGAAAATTGCGTCGAAAACCGGAGCCTGAAGGGCACAGGATTAGCATAAAACAGACGCCAGTAAACTTAATCTAACGCTAGGATAACATATAGTAGAATACATCGAGTGTGTTAGCATAAAACAGACGCCAGTAAACTTAATCTAACGCGAGGGTAACATACAGTAGAATACATTGAAAGAGTACATAAACAAAAACACACGCGAAACGCTATCACGGTATCTAGCGCAAAACTATAATCTAAAAACTTAACCTACCCGCATCTAGCGCAACTGGGCTAGACCACATGCACACGGCGAAGGCCGAGGCACCTTGACCATGGCCGGAGGGCTGAGCCATGTCGGAAAGCAGCGATGGAAGAGCGGTAATTGTACCTCACACCAGAGGCGACAAAACAGTGGTCGGTCCAGTGCCCGGTGGCACGAACGCGACTCGGGTCAACGGTGAACTTGGAGCGGCACCTCGTTGTGGCGCTGCGTCCTGGTCAACTGAATGCTCAAGCTCAAGCTGCTCAACAGGAACAGAGTCATTCTGGACGGACGAAACCATTGGCGGCGATTCCTGCAGCTCGAAGGTTGGCTCTGAGGGCTCTTGCGGGACAGTTCGGAATGAGCGGCGGGGAAAGTAGTTACCCCGGGAGGTGCAGCAGTGCTTAACGCAGAATGCAAGACAGCAAAACGAGAGTACCCCAATGATGATCATCATGAGCATGGAACGTGAGAAAGCTGATGGGGAATCAATTGTGACCTGTTCCAGTGGTTGTGCTTCGATCGTGTTGAAGTATGAGTCGGCACGCATGCCATGAATATGCAAAGGAGGGAGCAGCGAAAGATTGTAACGTGTGAGGTTGGCAAGCGTGGCAGACCAGTGAGAGCGCCAGATGGGCAGAGAGGTGTTGTCGAATACGGACTCTGGCGTGAACTGGGGAAGTTCAAGGTGGGTTTCGCTAGCATAGTAGGGCGGAAGGTAAAAGGAGTCGCTCGAAGCAGCGCATTCCGGTTCGAGGGTTAGAATATCGATGGCACGAGTGAGGGATAAAGTACGACTGAACGGAGTAGTTGAGGGAGAGCACATAATGGTAAGGCGTAGCGGTGGACGCGAAACAATGAGCCATTTACCAGCGTTAAGATAATATGCTTTGGGAGAATCGTCGGACGGGAGGATGCGAGGAGAGCAGTAGCGTTGTGATCGTTGTCTATCTTTCCGGAAGAGAGACACGACGCAGGAGACCGAGCCAGCCGTGGAGTACGCTGGTTCGTGTAGGGCGCAAAAGGGTTGTTTGGCAAGTACGCATGTTTCTATTTCGGATGCTTCGGGTTGTATGTAGTGTTGTCTGTTTTCCGATATCAAGAGGTAACGGGGTTCATCAGGATAGTATGACAGTGACACGTTGTGCTCGTGCATGGGCACGTTGTATGGGAAGAAACGGTATACATCGAACGCATGACGGGTATGTAGGAGTGGGATGTAAAAGAGGACATGATAGGTATCTTCGTCTTCGACAAGTTTGGTCTTAGCGATGCGAATAAATTCGCTGGGCTGATCAGCCGGGTATGGTAGTTCGAAGTTGGAGGGGAGTTTCTTAGCTATCCGACGCAGGAGTTTTTGGAGGTCTCGTTTGGGGATGAGGTTTTTGTGAAGGATCCCTACCTGAGCCAAGGCTAATTGATGGGTCAAAGAGCTTAGCTCTGCGTACAAATATTGAACAGCCTGCGTTGCGCTGATAATGCTGTTGGTAAGTTCAAAAAGTTTGAATGACATTCGGACATCGTCAGTGTCATTCTGGATTGAAGATATGGCGTCCGCATAGGCTGCGTTGAGGTTGCGAACTGCACTAGTAAGTGACTGGAGAGCTAAACGATTTTCGTTTACTGCTATTCTCGTGGAGTTCAGAACTTGTAGGGTACCGTTAAACTGATGTGCCATTGCCAAATTCTTCTGGTTTAAGAGGATCACATTATTAGACAAGTGTTTAATTTCACTTTCGGTGGCTGTGCCAAACAGATAATTAAAGGCATTTCCTAGGCCATCAATTAGACCGCGTTTTGCTCTACTTAGTGGCTCATTGCCTATTTCAGGGTCATTGGGTGTGTTCGACGGATGAAGGATATCAAGGAATGTTCGTTTCAGTCCTGCTGTTTCACTATGGAGTTCTGTTAGGGCCGCATGTAGGTGATTTACATACATGAGGAACATTATATGTTTGGTAGAATTACCTACTGATTGCTGCTCTCTGTTTGCTACCTCTGTGACTACTTTGACCAATTTGTCTAGGTTCGTTTGAGTGGAGTGAAGGTCTTCCGCATGCCTTTTGAATGGTGCGATGCTAATCGAAATCGTTATTGCCCAAGAACTGTAACTCGGATACGTTTTTCCCACTGGTATGAATAAATGACCGGGGTCGTTCGGGGTGGTGGTGGTTGTTACCACACTTACTGTCGTGAGCCAACCTAGGAGTGCAATCATCGCGGGTTGCCACATGGTTACGCCTGCAACGATAGAGAATGCATCATCAGCCAAAGCTGGGAAACATGAGTTCTATACAAAATATAAATAGCAACATATTTGATACCATCGAGTGCCAATTTCGGAACAGATCATAAGATTTGTCCTCTTTCACAACTGGTTGTTGGATCATGGCAACCCTGGGGTTTGGTGTCCCGGTGGACACGCAATCCAAATCAAACTGGACTCGTGGTCTTTTGTCAGGGGTCCGCTCGGTCGATGGGTCACGTTGTCTCTTTGGTACGTACCGAGAAGTTGCATAACTAAAACCTTCTGGAGGAGGCTGAGTATCAACGGGGTCAGTGACCGGGCCCCGTGATCGTAGAGCATATCCATGCTGCGGCTGTCGTTCCTCCTGTGTACTCCTCTCTAACGATGGTGTCAGTTTACCGTGCTCACCATTCTCCGGTAAGTATGGCGAGTTAACAGCGGGACTGGCGGTTATCGTCGAAGGTTGTAGCGGACCTTGTTGCTCTGCATTCTCTTCGTCCATTTGGGTTTCCACTTGTGGATTGGTGACGAGGGGTGTGTCCGGGAGTTCAACCGGTGTTGGCTCGTAACTTGCAAACCAATCTCGATCGCTGTAGGGAAGGCGAGCAGCGCGGAGAGGTTGTTGTCGAACTGGCTGTTCCTCCGGCATACTACTTACCTGAACAGGGCGTTTGATTGACTGATACGACCTGTCCCATACATCGTTGGAATCCCTGATCCTCAAATTTTCTGAGTGCACTATTTTGGTTTTGCCCGTGATCATGTTCTTAATACAATAATTTTCAATTCCCAATTTGGAGATGACACGGTAGTGATTTTTCCATGGTAGTGATAGTTTAGACGAGTCACCTGGTCGTATCGAGGGGTCAAAATAGAATACCAGGTCACCGGGTTTAAAGTTAGAGGGGGTGGCTGAGCTGGCGATGAGTGACTTGTTGTGTTCTCTAGCCTGTTGGATGTTGCTAGCCACTTCTGTGTACGCGTTGTGTAAACGTTCAAACATGGCTGGCACGTACTCCTCTCCAGTATAGTGGTGACGAGGCTGAAGGAGTGTGTCAACAGGTAGTACAGGGTCACGGCCATACATAATGAAATACG